AAAAAAAAAAAAAAAAAAAAAAAAGAAGAAGAAAAATGAAAACTCCTCAGTCTGAAAATCAAGGCCTTTTTTATAATGTGCTGAAGGGATCAGGGCTGATGCATGCTAAGTTGGGAAGTCAACTGAACCATCATTCATGGATGTTTTTACCTTCTCTTCCTTAAGGTCATAGAGGATTCCACTAAGGAGCAATGCAAGCACCACAGAGGCATGTGCTAAATGTGGAACCACTTATACCAGGCTAACCGAGAGGTCATTTTCAACTCCAGTGCCTCTTTTTTTAAAAAAAAACAGAGATTGTAGGTGCCTCAGAGTTGGAATCTTGGGAAGTTCTGACTCACTCTGGGATAAACCAGTAGGTGGGGAGGAGCAGGAGTAAGAAGCTTTCTTATATCTGTACAATGATGAGACCATCATGGTCCTGGCAGAACCTGAGTTCCCCACTCTCACAAGGAGCCGGGGACAGGATTGATGGGCCAAGCCAGCATCCTCCATTACCAGCAGCTGTGGCATTTCCAGGCAAAGAAGTAATGGAATGAGGAAGGAGTCATATGTGCCATAGTCGACCCTTAAGTGCTTCCTCCTAATGATGAAGAAGAAAGCAAATGCCCCTTGCCCAGCAAGCCTCAGTAGCCTGTTCAGGACAAAACAAAACCAGCCTGGTCCAGTAAGCAAGAAGGTTAGACTGATAGCCTGTGATGATGCTTCGACTACGATTGGATGCAAAGGTCAATTAAGTAGCTTGGTTGCCAAGATCAGTGATCTGGGCCAGTTCATCCCTTAACTCTGTGGTGAGAATTTCCTGAATCTGGATCTGGAATCTGCAGCATTCCAGGATCCTGGGCAAGCAAGTAGAATCTAATCACATCCTGGTGCAATGGCCCCCACAAAGCCAACCTGGTAGACTTTTGGCTGCAGCCATTTGGGAAGAGTCGTGATCAAAAATCTCCATTTATTTAACATATGTATGTTGAGCATGTGTTATGCACCAGGTTCTTTAAATGCTGGAGATACAACAGTGATATGACTCTGAGTTGATGGCACTTAAAAAATATAGAGGAGCTAGACAATCAAATAATCACACAAACTAATGTAAAATTGCAACTGTGAGAACAACTTCAAAAGAGAAGGACTTGAGTCTATGTAATTCTAGAAGGGGGATTTCCCATGGAAGCAATACTTGAGCAATACTTGAGCTTGAATAGAAAAAACTAGGCAAAAAGGAGGAAAAAGAATGTTCTAAGCAGGAACAGCATATGCAAAGGCCCTGTGGCTAGTAAAACTGAAAGAAAGCCAGCAGTCCTGGAGAGAAGACAGAAAGAGAAGCTCAGCATGAGGTCAGGCTGGGAGACGGGAGAGGGACCAGACCATGTAGAACAGTATACGTTATTAAGGAGTTTTGTCTTTGTCCAATAGGAAATGGGAAACCATTTAACAGTTTTAAGCAGAGGGGTGTCCCAATCAGACTTACATGGTGAAGAGATCATTTTGCAACATAGAACACAGATTGGAGAGGAATTGGTCAGAGTGGATCGGGGAGAAACAGGGAGTAGAGAATTGCAAGTCCAAGCAGAGCATGATGGTTGCTTCCATAAGGCTGACACTGGTAGTGGACAGATTTGAGTGTTATCTGAGGTATAAACAGACAGAATTTAGTGATGATGGGTTATGGGGGATGAGATTGAAGAGACAGTCCAGAATGACTCCTCGGATTCTGGGTTGCAGGACAGCATTGATGGAAGTGTCAGTCACTGAGCAGGAAGAATTGGGAGGAGAGCTGTGATTCTGGTGCTGGGGGCAGTGGGATAGGAAGAGCAAGAGTTTAATTTTGGACACAGTGATGAGCGTGAGGTGAAGTGGGGCAAACTCTAAAATGATCCCAGTGATCCCTGACTCTCGGTATTTGCACCCTGTGTGATCCCTTTTTCTTGTGTATGGCTGGACATAGTGTTTTGCTTCTAGAAAAAGGCGAAAGTCATGGGATGTCACTCCTTAGATTAGGTTACAAAGAGACTGGCCTCCATCTTCCCTTTCCCTTCCCTTCTCTTCCCATTGCTCTCTACCCCCCCGCACCCCCACTCTGGGGAAAGCACGCTGCCATGCAAGTCACCCTGTAAAGAGGCTCCATGGTAAGAAACTGAGTCTCTGAGCAACAGCCAGCGAGGGCCTGAGACCCGCCAACAGTCACAGGAATGGGCCTGGACGTGGATCCTCCCTGATGTGAGCCTTGAGATGACCGACCGCAGCCTCCTGAGAGACTCTGAACCAGGGGACCTAGCTGGGCCGTACCTGGAGTCCTAATCCACACAAACTATAAGGTAAATGTTTGTGGTTTTAAGTGCTCCGTTGTGGGATAATGTATTACAAAGCAATAGGTAATTAATACAGGTGACTTCCATATATCCAAGAAAATACATTAGGTTAAAATTAGATATTATAGGTCATGAGCTCAGAGAAGTTTGGACTAAAGATATAAACTTGAGATTTATGTGTATACAGGGAGAAAGTATAAAGTGAAGGAGGAGAGATTATTGAAACAAGTCTTAAGGATCTCCGTAATTTACTGGCTAAGTAGGGGCAGATGAGTTTGCAAATGAGCTAGAGAAGGAAGAGAGATATAGGAAGAAAACCAGGAGAAAGTTGAATCATATAAGTCAGTAGAAAACAGTGTTTCAAAAATGTAGAGAATGGTCAAGTAAAAGAAATAGTGAAATACCGGTGTGAGAGTAATTCGCAGTTCCATCAAAAGGTGCCATGTCTGCCTGAAAGCCAGAATAGTATGAACTGAGGTTGGGAGATTTGGAAATGGAGACAAAAAGTATTGATAGTTCTCTACAGAATTTGACATGTAAAAGTTAGAAGAGAGATCAGGTAACAGCTAAAAGTGGATAATAATTGTTATTTTGTTTTTAAATGAGAGAAACGGGCAGATATAAAAAATGGAAAAGGTTCAAATGAGAGAAAAAGTTTGGTTATTCGAGAGAGAGAGAGAAGAAATAAGAGATAATCTAAGATTCCTGGAAGGCAGGTGGGGATCCCTTTAGATGGGAGGTGGGACAGCTCTGCTCTCAGATCAGGAGAGGACCCACAGGTGCAGGAATATTGGAGTTTAAGAGAGGTCCTACGTGAGAGCTCCTGTTTTCTCTCTAACTTAGTGCGAGGAGGTCATCTGCTCAGAGAAGAGAAGGAGGTTGGAAGCTTGAGGAAAGGAGAAAGGTTTGAGATAGTCACATGGGGAAGTGAGACAGAGAACCATAGTAAGTTTTTTGTGTAGTATGAGGGCCTGTTTGAAGTTAATGCCCTTGAACTTATAGCCAGAGAAACAGTGAGGTTCATCCACGTATAGTACTTACACAAATAGAGGCAACAGAGGGACAAGGGAGTCTAGGCTCGGAGTAGAGATGGAGCAGAGGAATGTAGGGCATAGAAAGGCGTATAGAAATACCTTCCGTGAAATATGCCAGACAATAAGGGATGCGAAGAAAGGGGGAGGCTGACAGGAGACAGTGGAGGGCAGGCAGTGCCAGCGACACTGGAGCAGAGCTGGCGTGAGAGCGACTTAACAGCACCTGGACGGAGAGGTTACTACAGCCAAGCAGAGGAGTGCTCAAATTAATAATTTTGGAGGAGTGAGCATTACAGGTGGTGTCAATGTCCTCAGAGTTCCTGTGGGAGTTGGTGGCTGAGATCACTGATGAGGAAAAGAAAGTGAGCACCTGAATGGCCGTGTTATTGGACAGGCCACCCACCTGGACACTGTTTTCATACGGACTGAGGGAGGCTTGTGTGTAGGAGGCAGGTAACTGGCTTGCCCTGGGAATGGTGAGCTTCCTGCCCATGGCCAGTGTGCATAATGAATGAGAAGACCCCCCACAGTAGATGACAGCAACAATTGTGGAGGTAGAGAAGAATATTTAAACAGTACAAGTGTAAAGGAGCATGGTTTTAGTAAAAGAGTAAAATATAATGTCGGAGAATAAGGCAGACACTGCTTGTTCTCTTCCTGATACCTTTATCTCTTTTCTTCTCTACGAAACAAGATCCTGACCGTGTTCTGATGTTTATGCTGTTAAATATACCTGCCTTCTTCAATTACTTTGCATCGAGGGATGGCCATGTGGCCCACTTCTAGCCAATGAGACATAAGCTTCATTTCACTAGGGATCCGAGAATGTTTTTGCTTTCCTGATGCAGGCATCACCCCCTAGCTTCTTCTCTCTTCTTTTTTTTTTTCCTTTTTGTCTTTTTTCGTGACCGGCAACGGATCGCAACCCTCGGTGTTGCTCCCGCACCTCGCTCAGCCAGTGAGCGGCCGGTCTGTATGTGGGATCCGAACCCTCGGCGGGAGTGCCACCACACTTCCCAAGCGGCGCACTGTAGCAGTGCGCCACCAGGCCGGCCCTTCTTCTCTCTTCTTGCCTGGAATTCATACATGATGGCTGGGCTACAGTGGCCATATTGTGACCAATAATTTATAAATATTAGGAAAAGGCAAAGATAATCACAGAAATGTGAGTCCTAATTTTGACTGGCCACCGAACCAACACCAACAGTCATCTGCATTCAGATTTATGATTATATGAAGAGAAATGAACTCTAGTTAATGAAGCCAGTATTAGTTGACTTCTCTATTATATATAATTTATTATATTCCCCAAAGACATATTAACTCACCTTGTTGAACTGAAATTCAAAGGGCATAAGAAAATAGTTGCCGCATGACAGAGCTGCAGGAAAAGTAACGTCCTCAGGGTTAGGGCAGCTTTGACAAGGCAGGAGACAGGAGGTAAGGGAGTGTTGAGAAGAAATTGTGCAGGTAGGGCAATTTGCTAGTTATGGAGGAATGGTTCAAGAGGCCAGAGTGGAAGAGAATGAGAAGGAGAGGGGAGGTGGCAGGCAGAGCAGGAGGATGTACAAAGCTTCATGAGAATGATATAGGACGGAAGTGGATCACCTGACCGTGTGGGCACGGAGGTAGAGGTTACACTTTGGACCTTGACCAGTGCAAACAGAAATGAGAAGCGTGATGGATTTGGTCTCCAAGTCTCTCTGAGGGCAGAAATCTTGATACCTTACCAGGTTGCACTGGTAGGGCCATTATCTTTCCACGTCTTTGGTTAGGAAAGAAAGGAGAAATGTCATCCCTTCGGCCTCTCTAGAGAATAACATGCAGGTTCAAAGCTGCATAGTGAAACCTCACAATCTCTCTAGATTCCCTTCAGATCTCTCCAGAGGCAGAAACAGAAGCATCTCCGGGGAAGGGGAGGGACTGCAGGCCACCCGGGCTTGCAAGGGCAGGGTGAGGGATGCATTTTGCCCTCTCCTCTGGTAATTGGCCCACAAGGGCCGTTATCTCCCCAAGGAGACTGGTGTTCCCCTCCCTGAGCCCTCATAGTCCCAAAGCAGAGTGACAGCCGTGTGCCTGCTAAATCATCCACATTGCCATAGCAACAGGCTTGCCCCTGGAGCCGTGGGTTCACAGCAAAATGATCAGGCCTCTCTTAAAGGTTTCTGGTGTGGGTTTGACCAAGAACATAGGCCAGGTAGGTAGACATAAAGGTGTGGAGCCCTGAATATTCAGGGTAGGAATTTTACCCCAAATGGTCAAAAGATTAAAGAGTCTGAGAATGACTACAAGCTAAATCCAACCAGCCAGCTCTTAAAGGTTTCTGGTGTGGGTTTGACCAAGAACATAGGCCAGGTAGGTAGACATAAAGGCGTGGAGCCCTGAATATTCAGGTTAGGAATTTTACCCCAAATGGTCAAAAGATTAAAGAGTCTGAGAATGACTACAAGCTAAATCCAACCAGCCACGGGTCCAAACAGAAGAAGCAGAATTCATCCATCAAGTCTAAGGAACATCCCTGGAATGGATTTCATGGGGGGGCGGGAGGGAGGGGTGTGGTGGTGGTAGTGAGAGTAAGGAAAGAAGACAAAGAAAAAGGGCCCAGAGTGTCTGGGACTGCTTTTCTTTGGCTGCTGGCTACACGCTGTGGTAGCTGAGCTGCGTTAATATTCAGGGACTCTGGGTGGATACTAGCTGCCTCCAACCCTGTTCAACCATGGATCACTTGCTTTCACTCCCCATTCTTACTTTGAGCCAATGAAAACCAGTTCCAATTGTGTTCTAGGACTCCACCCTCATCTCTTGTACAATCCCTTTACTTGGATGGAGTTATCATCTCTCTATGGGCCATAAAACTGCAGATACCACCCAAGGTATCTGACCAGTGTCTACAACCAGACATGGTTCCTAATTTGTACCATAGTTCTTAGCTAGGACTGGAATTCACAGCTCTCTGGGCTCGGACCTGGTGGAATCTAAGCTCCATGAGGGTCTTTAAGAGTTTATCACTGTATTTCTACAATGTAGCAGAGCCTGTCATATACAGGATCTTAATAAATATTTATTGAATGAATGATTGAATGAATGGGTCACTGACAACATTCTTGGCCCTTGCCTACTCCAGGTTACTGGACTCTTCTGTGGGCAACTGTCCTTGGCATGGTCCTGTGTCTTCTGGGATGGACCCTCTTAGAACCAAGACCTTCTACCCAATTGTCACCGAGAGCACCTGCCATCAGAGATTCCTGGTGTTGTCCACCTGAATGGACTCTTGGACACCAATGACAGCCTGGATACTAGGACAAGATTTCAGATGTCCCTTCTGCCACTGCAGAGGTAGCTTCTGTATCCCCTCCTTGGTGACAACAGCATTAGTCCACTGACGCAGACCTTGGTCTCAGGCTACTGCTTTCTCTCCATGAACTGAAGATTTGTTATCCTTCCCAGTAAGAAAGACCTGTGGAGTCTAGGAGAGTTGTGGCAGTATTGCGGATGGCCTTGAGAGCCTCCCAGCTACAATAGCCTAGGAGTAAAAAGTAGAATTATAATAATGTAATTCCACTCCAATTCACAATTGAAGAAACGTGAAGTCTCTCCCCTAATGGACTGTCAAAAATAGTACATGTATACACATCTATTTTTATTTTCTTATAGCATTGTCAATATTAAAGTTCCTTATAAATTTATTATATTGTTTTTTGTCAGTTTTTCACATTGGAATGGAAGCTCCATGATGTCAGGTACACTGTCCATTTTGTTTACTACCTAAGCAGTAGGTGTCCAGTACCTATTGAGTGGATGAATTAATCACTCTGGATGTCCTCAGAGTGGGCCCTCCGTGTGCCTGGGAACCCAGTTCTCTGGCCATTTTCCTCCTCACGGCTGCATCTTTCCATGGCACAGGTGCAGCTGTGGCCTCTGACATCCACCACACTGCCAAGGCACTGGTGCTTCCTTTGCTGTCAAAGTCCCCAGTGCTATCTCTCGCCCATATCTGCCAAAACCACACTGCACTGAGGCAATTCAGCTGGGCCCAAGTCTGCATAACCAGCCCTGGGAACACACCAGTGTGGAGGTGCCTGGCTGGACTCCCCACTGAAGTGGAAGCAACCTCTTTCCCCACCCTTTGTAATACCCACATCCCAAAACAAGGCTGCCTTGAGCTCCCAGATATTTTTTTGTAAAAATAATTCTTTTTGTTCTTTGTAGTAAAAGAACTGCAAAGAAAGGGATTCCTGATCTCTTCCCTAGGAGTCTGGCATCAGCTCCTCTCAGCGAGAGGCACAGTGCTGTACCCAGGCGCTGGTGCTGGACTAAGCTTGCGTGCATTGTCTTTTTTCCCCATCTGACTTTTATCCACTGAGATCTCTCAAATTCTCTTATCATCCCTAGGAAATCCTCTGCCACCACCTGTTCCCCTAGCATGACTTGACATGTCTGTACCCTCCTATGGGCACAGTCAAAGCAGCAGCTGGAATGGCCAGAACACAAGGAGTTTGGATTTCATCCTGTGGGTCATGAAGAGTAAATGAAGACCTCGGGCTACAGGACTATCTTGAAGAACCAGTGCTTTAGGGATAGATATTTGTTGTCCATGTGTAGGATGAGACATGGGGGAATACTCTAGGTTGCCTTCGATTATTTCAGTTCTCCCCAGAGATTGTTTGAGCAGGATTCTACTTCCCTCCCACATCTCTGTGGGAGCCAATAGTTCTGTCTGAATATTTCTAGCTTTCTGCTTTCTGGCCATATGGTAGGTGTGATGGTTAATTTTATGTGTTAAACATGACTGGATCACGGGGTGCCCAGATATTTGACTAAACATTGTTTCTGGGTATGTCTGGAGGGTGTTTCTGGGTAAGATTAACATTTGAATTGGTGAACTGAGTAAAGTAAATTGCCCTCCCCAGTGTGGGTGGGCATCACCCAACCTCTTGAAGACCAAAATATAACAAAAGGTTGAGCAAGAAAGAATTCTTTCTCCCTGCATGATTGTCTTCCAGATTGGACATCAGTCTTCTCCTGCCTTCAGACTTGGACTCAGACTGGTATTTACACCACTGGCTTTCCAGGTTCTCAGGCCTTCAGACTGGAACCGGAACTATAACAATTGACTCACCTGGGTCTCCAGCTTACACACTACAGGACTGCAGATCTTAGGACTTTTCAGACTTTATAATCACATGAGCCAATTCCTTATAGTAAATCATATATTTGTGTGTGTGTGTGCGTGTGTGTGTGTGTGTGTTCTGCTGGTCTGGAAAAACCAGGATAATACATAGGATTTCACTTCACTCTGTTGATGGGATGTGTCATATGGCCAATTGTGGCCAATGAATTGTGGTTACTTCTACAGAGCGTGCAATTGCAGGTGTGAGATGCTTCAGGACTCTCTTTCCCTCTGATCTGATGAGTCAACATGGCAAGGAGCTACACAATGGAGAGGACATGGTGGTGGGGGTGGTGGTGGTGGTGAGATGCACTGGGCCATTACTATAACCATCCACCACAGCTGGCAAGCCTACAATGGTGGCTGCTCCATCAACCTGGACCCCCGAGAGGCTCTGAGAAGCAGAGTCCCCACCACAGTCCTGTGAAAAACAGGGAAAATGAACAAGGTAGAACTCTTCTAGTTTTGAGCCACTGAGGTTTGGGGTTATTGCCACAGCACAGCCTAGCCTATCCTGACTGGAATATCTCCTCCTCTCCTTTCTTCTGTGTTTTTCTTAACAAGTAACTGATGACTTCCAGGAGACCCTTGAAACCTTCTCTCCTGGCAAGGAGCCTATGGGGGGCTCCATAGCCAGGAAGAATTCTGAAAACAATGGCTAGAGCAACACTTCAAATCAGATGCAGTCTTATGGCTACATCCTCTCTTGTGTAACTGTTGGAGGTTGGACTCAGGCAACTGCCTGTTTAAACAGTACTATAAAGCACAGATAACCTCTAGGAATGTTTCCTTTCAGTGTTGTAAGGAAGGGAACACCAGCCTTCTTTCTCTTCACCAACCCAGCTTATTAGTTCCTCTCCTGGAGGGGATGAGTGATCCGGTCAGCATTCCAGGGCGTTGGTGGGCCAGGTTTCAAAGGCACATGCACACGTTCCCACTCTCCCCAGCTAGCATTTCTTCTTTTCTCAGGGTGTTGAGCAGGGTTAGACAAGACCTGTTCCTTAGGGGGTTAGCTGTCCTCTTGTCCATCTTTCTGTCTCCACATGGTTGGGTGAATTTGTGGACTTGGGGCCTTTCCTAGTCCATCTTTATCCTCGTCTCTGTTTTTCCCTCTTAGATCCCAAGATTTGAATTAAGAGGTGCATGATGGGGCAATAGAAAGCCCCAAATTAATTAAAACCCGAGCTTTTTAGCTGAGCTTATTTTGATGTTGGTGATTTTTATTTGTCAACTTAGCTAGGCTAGAGCTGCGCTCGCAGACTTCCCCTCGCTGAGTACTTCTGAGTTTACATGGACCTAAAGAGACACTTTGTGCAAGATCTGCATGATGGAAGTGAAGCTTCTTTTGCATGCTCTGCACACTCAGGAGGTCAGTGCAGGGGCACCAGGCACCGTGGCAGCTCACGTTGCTGAGAATTGCTGTCTCACCTTAGCTCCTCTGACTCCTGAGTCAGGCACTTGTTTAGCTCTATGACAGGCACCAGCTTGTCCTTCAGGTCTCCCTATCATCAAAGTTGGAGGTTTGGAGACAAACAACCTGAATCCAGCTCATGCTGTGGGTCGCACCTGACCCTTGCTTCCCCGACCTCACATCCACCTTCCCTTCCCGACTCCTGTCCAGCGGTGTCAGGGCCCAGCACCAGAAGCAGAGCCAAAAGCTTTATGTAGACGCTCATGCGGCTCCCACGACTATGTGGGGTCAAATCCCTACAGTAGATCATCTACTGTGTATCTCTCTTCCTACTTCTGCTTCTCTGATTCAACCCTGGCTGATCCAAACAGATACTAAAGGGGCTGGATTTGAACCCAGGCAGACTGAGCCCACGGTCTTCCCCACTGCCTGCATCTGTATGGGGGCCAGTTTTTTCCTCCATTTTTTGTTGTTTGCCCACCTTTCTCAGGAATCACTGATGGGACATGGAGATGACTAGCAGTTGGGTCAGGTACTCCTGGGTCCTCTCACCATGACCTCCTCCAAATTTATTCAGGTGCATGCACACCAATAAAAATAGAAGTCTGGGTTTTTGGACCTTGAATATTCTGTGGGCACTGAGTTAACATGAGATATTTCAGCCACTTTAAAGCACTATATTAACACTGAGGAAACAAGGACAGTGAGGAACATAGAGACTGATCAAAGAGAGAAGACCGCTTTCCCCACACCTGACGTTCATCCCTTATGTATTAAACACCTAGTGTGAGTTAGGAAGTCTGCTATTAAATAATAAAATTACCCCACATCGGAGGGTTTATTTTATACGACACAGTTCTCTTAAGGCAAAGAACTTAGAACAATGCTTGGTTTAAGCATACAATAAATGTTACTTGTTCTTGTTAGTCTAAGTGCTTCATATGGAGT